CAATTTTATTGTGACCGTTAGAATGACTCAAAAATTCCTTAAAATCCTTGAAAATCTCTAAAGATCATCTGGAAATCCTTAAAAGACATCTAGAAATCCTTTAAAATATTTGAATGTCATTATCAGCTTTTAGATATTCTTAGAGATAATGCTATCTGTATATAGCTATCCAAATCAACTCAATCAATTCTTATTAGGCATTCATAACTGTTATTAGATATCTCTGGAAATAGTTAAAAATTCTTAAATTTATGGATATTCTTGGGAATCTGTCAAAATCCTTTGCCAATTTTGTGAAAACCTTTGGAATATGTCAGAAATTCTTAAATATCATTATTATATTGCTTGATCAAATGAATATTCTTAAAAATCAGCTAGATATAGTTGGCTTTACTAGAGCATCACGAAAATCGTCTTAAAAGCTCTGGAAAGTATTAAAATTTCTGGATGTTTTTAAATGTCCGTAAAAAGCTTTAGGACGTCCTAATCTTCCTTAGAATCTCTGAAAATTGTTCAAAATTCCTGGATATCCATGAAAATCATTATAAATTACCTATAAATCCTTTGGCAATTTTTTTGTGGCCGTTAGAATGACTCAAAAATTCCTTAAAATCCTTGAAAATGTCTAATGATCATCTGGAAATCCTTAAAAGACATCTAGAAATCCTTTAAAATATTTGAATGTCATTATAAGCTTCTAGATATTCTTAGAGATAATGCTATCTGTATATAGCTTTCCAAATCAACTCAAAATTCTTCGTATTCATCTAGAAATACTGGGGTATACTGGAACGTACTTAGAAATATATAATCATATCTAGATATCGTTCGGGTAGCATAGCCATCCTTTGCATTGCTTTCTGAATATAATAAAAAATCACAGATATCGATAGATAACATTAAAAATTTCATGAAAATCTTTTAAAAATGCGTAATGTCGCCAGAAATACTTAAACATTTTTAAAAATTCTCAGGATCTCTTAAATCTTCATAGAAATCTCTATGAAAACTATAAGACATACTTCGCAATTATTAAGTATTTCGAGATATCCAAAAAAATCCTTTAAATTTGTATGCAAATTCTCTGTAAATTCTTCCAGAATCCTAACAATCATCTCAATAACTCTAGAATTAGCTAGTTATCCCTGGAAATTGTTATAAATTTCTAAATATCGTTTTTATTTTCTAGAAATTCTTGAAAAACCTTCGGATAATCTCAATTTTATTGAAATATCCAACTATGTAGAGAAAAGTTTGAAAATATCTAATAAACTTTAAGAATCCTTAGACATTCCTAAGTATCATTTTTTTAATTTAATTTATTTTTATTTAAATATTCTATTAAGTAATCGAATCATCTCTTGACAACTTTCGACAAATTTCTTATAGTTTTGAGTTGCAAAAGTTGTGAAAAATTAAATTGATATTGTAGACTTTAACTTTGAGATAGAAATATGAATGTTTTTCAACCAATTTATTTTAGTATTGCAATAAATTGCAGGTTAGAGTATTTATGTTCAACTTTAATACAGAAAATGATCTCATAGTCAATTGGCAGACCTTGGGTCTCAGATTATCGAGTTATATAAAAATAAAGAAGATAGTTTACTTTTAATTGAATTTCTACAATTATCCTTAGTTTCTGAAAAATGTCTGTTCATTTTTTAAACAATTTCCCAGAAGTGATTTGTGAGTTGTCTTGATATGCATGAATTTGCCCATAAAAACTTACCAATTATTGAAAATCTATGATTAATTATAATTAATATTGACGCTTCGATTCAAAAATTAGTTTCTAGTGAAATTAGTAAGATTAACCTTAAAAAAGATTTTCCGGGAAAACTTGTATAGTTAAATATAAAATTTGTTACGTTTTGAGTAAAAAAACTGCTATTTTTAACATTTTTTGTCGGTGAAAGTGAATTTACAGATTTCTTGCAAGATTGCAGTTGATTAAAGGACGCATAATTGGGTCGACCGGAGGGAAATATTAACTTACCGTCCGCTCAATATAGCAATAAATGCTTAAGAAGTGCATAAAATTTAAGCATCATATTAACTTTTGATGGTTTTGACAACTAAAAACAATTCTTTGAAAAAATTATATGTAAATTTGTATATGTATACTACCAATTAAAAACTACTCATTCACAGCACATTATTTAATTGCTCAGTAAAAAACTAAACGATCAACATAAAACTTAAATGACCAGTAATAACGCTTAACCAATTGTAATATGCGTTTGAATAACGCAAACAAACAAAGTTGTATTTGTTTTTAATTTATGCCACTTGTTATATTTTATTAAATATGGAATGCAGCAAGTATCTTCAACAATAACAACCTGTAAGGTTTTATCTATTGGTGTATATGAATCACTTGAGTGTCATGTCTATAGTGCAGCTATTTTCATGTTAATATCTCTATAAGATAATCAACTGTGTTTTCAATGGATAATGTAGGAATAATGGGAATACACACAGAATCATATTATTGTCCGTAATATTTCACTCGACCACAAGTATCTCTGTTCTTATAGCGAAAACTCGACACATTTGAGGATCTTAATACTTGAAAATCTAAAATAAGAAGAACATAAAGAGCAACGGGGAAGAAGGAAGACAGGGAGAGGCTGGGGAAAAGGATTGGAATTACACAAATTATTGGTATTGTAGTAATTGTAACCTTTTGGGAAACAATCAATTATTATTATTGTTATTATAACGAGAAACGGGTGGAAATGATGTTGGGTGTAAAAATGTTGAGTAGAAACTGAAGGAGCAGATGAAGTAATACCCGATAAAGGCAAAAATTAAAAAAATTAAGGTCAGATATGGTGAGGAAATGATGCCCATGATGGGAAGGCCATCCTATCAAAATGAAAGGCCAAGAATAAAAACAGAACAGAAGAGTTGATGAATAATTCAATTTTTTCAAGAACAAATCTAGCCAATCAACGTCATATTCCCAGGTGGTCTGCGAGTGTTTTCTGAACCGTGAATTGTTGGGGCATTTTCGCAATCATGTTTGATACTATCTTTATTTTCTGCACACTTCTGTAGTCGCTGGTTCGGTATGTATTCTTGTATCTTATTATATCTATTCTGGTAAATAGAGCATATTATGGACTTATTCCAAATTAATCTTCCTAAAGATCGTAGATCGTATGATCTTCGTATGGAATTTATATCCTTGTCTTAATTGTTTTATAAATCTATACGCGTTTCTTGTATTATTATCGTTGAAGTCCATTTTTATGTTCAGAAGTTAGTCATTTTCAAAAATTCCCTTCTTTCGTGTATAGTTTCTGTCAGAGTTTACTTAAATACTTCTTCTTCTCTCTCTCTCATGAAAAGCCATGACGAAACTGTGTTTCATCGATTCCCTCTCGTAATCTTCTCTCTATTTCCTCCCGTAGCTTCTCCCGTACAATTGGTTCCTTAAATTTCTCTAGATTAAGTTTCTCCTGATTGTAGGTCCTATGTTGTATTTTACTATTAATTTTGCACCTAAATTTTACCTCTAACTAGTCAATGATCATCCAGTATATTGGGTATTGTTCTTTTGTCCATTAATAGATGGTCTATTTGATTATGTGTATTAGAATGGGTTGCTTTGGAGGTCCTTTTCTTCCGTTTGTATCAGTCCTGACCGTGTCTTGAATTGGGATTCATTCTGCAGTCTGCTACAGGATTATTTAGTTTTCCGTGGTTCCCCAGCTTGGAGGTAAGAGTTGGAATTGAGTAGGCTAGGAGATGCTTCCTTGTTCTTTTGAGATGAATAAAAATCGGTAGTCCCAGAATGCTATTGTTCTTTGAAAATCCAATGAACTTGTAAATGAAGTATTTCGGTATTATTTTAGGCATCAATTACACCTAGCTAATAGGAACAAGAAAACTACGTAGTCACCTAAATCTACTCTTTGTATGAATTATGCTGTGTTACGCCAGTGATTAACAGGAAATCGACTTGTTTGGGATTTAAACGACAATAAGCTGGAAACGAAAAGACCAAAAAGGACTATATCAAAAACATATGCAAAGAAATTTTAGAACGCTGTAACAATCAACAAGGAAATTCAAACCTAGAACGTTAGCAATAGAATATATATGGAAAGACGAGATGATGGTTTATCGATGGACACAGTACTGTAAAAAGCTTTATTGTGACCAGGAAAGGAGACAGAAGGCGAATAACAATTGGGAAGAGAGACATTGGGAGCTAAATATCGTGAAAGAAGTGATGAAGCAGAAGTGAAGCGGAAGCAGTGGAGCAGATAAAACAGGCAGAAAATTTTAAAGTGCTGGACGATGCGGCTGTAAAAATGTTTTTAAATCTATGGAACAAAGTATGGAGAACAGGACAATGGCCAAAATACATTGGACACCATCAATTTTCATCGCCATACACAAGAAAGGCCCCACAACAATTAAACAACTATCTACAACCATAAATACCGCCTGAACAAGAACGTTTGACACAAGATCAGATTTTTAATGTCAGATAATTAATGGAGATATCTCGAGAATACAATACGCCTATGCTGCTGTATTTCATGGATTATAAAATGGTGTTTGACTGCGTCAAATGGAAGCACTTGTGGTTGAATTGAAAGGTTTCAACGGGGGAGTTTCAATTGGTGGTCTAATCTCTAATATTTGCACTCACATCCAAAAATGGAAAATGCAGAAAAGAAATTAGAAGACGAATAGCGAATAGCTAAAGTTGCCATGACCAACTTGACGAAGATTTGGAAAGATCAACCAATCACAAAAAGGACAATAGTCAAACTAGTTACATTATATTCGCGATCTTCGAATCCTGAATTATCAAAGACACCGATAGAAAAAGGATTGAGGTTTTCGAGATGTGGTGCTGGCCTGGACAGACAGATACACTAACATATCAATACTGAAAAAGCTGTAGAAGCGCACTTCACGAGGCACAAGACCGTTAGTTATGGAGGAATAAAGTAAAAGAAAGCTCATAAACATGGAATCACGATTTTTCACTTATGAGAATACGACTCAGATGAAGAAGAAGCTGAAAAAGCTAATGTAAGAAAAGTTTTTAGTTTGGTGGAATAGAATTTCTTGTTGCAAAGTAGGTAAGGAGTTGTTACATTTCCCTTCAGGGGGAGACAGCTCAATATTTTGTATACAGTAAGCAAGCACTTTTACTTCTTAAAGTATGTTGTTGCGACAAAATAAAAACAGGATAATAATTCCATCATAATTGATGACACACATTCTATAAAAAAATATAAATCATTTTTTAATTGTGAAAAATAGTCAGCTATTTTCTAAAGTTTTAATTGGCATTATTGAAATTAATTTTAATGGCTCTTCCACGCGATCATTTTCTCTAATCAATCTTCATTATGAGGATATTTATATTTTTTTTAAAATGGGGCAAAACTTTTAAGAGTTTTATAAATCTTTATACACATTTATTCATTCTACTTAACCTTTTCAGTAATAACCTTGATTTTGACTTTATAACTCATTAAAACGATCATGAATTCTTAACCAAAACCAACCAATAATTTTACTACGTGCGGTTTTGCGTTAACACTCTTACATTTCATGTAAGGTTTGCGGTAATTTCGATTTGTATATGATTCTAGGTTTAGAAAGTAGCAATTTATGAACTACTATCAAGTCAAATTGATTTAAATCGCCACGTTTAAGTTGATTTATTTATGGATTAATTTATGAACTGTATTATGATGTAACTAACAATCTAAAAATAATAGTAATCCATTTAATTATTTTATTATGCGGTAGATAGTAAAATATTTAAATTTTAAATGGTAATTTCGATTATTTTCTATCGGATTAAACCACAAAACATATTACATTTTGTTACTAATAAATCGAAATACATAAATAAATTAATGATATTGATTATTTTGCATGCAAAGTGACTTTTTAAGGAGTGATTTAGTTTTTTCTTTAAGTTATATAACTCATCTTACAAATTTACCAAGAATAAACAATGTTTTTATTTAAAAAAACAAAAAGAAATGGGATGTTTTAGCAAACAAAATAATAAATAAATAATGTTTGACCTAAAAATTCGCTATAATACATCATTTTAATCTTGAATATTTAATTTTTGTTTTTGGATATTTGTTATTTAAATAACGATCGACCTCATTAAACGAGTTGCAAATCTTTAGAGACATGTAATGACTTACTTTAATTTCTTTTTAAAACAGTGACGTTTTAACCTTCTCCTCATTTAAAATTTAAAACATGTTCTAAAACACAGGTCACTAATAAACATCTCAAAATGCACGATGTCACACAAATCACTTTGTAAAATGTATTCCACACAACTTAAAATTGATTACTCATCATAGACAGTTTACCTGTACTTAAACAACAACATTAATCGACTTTAGATTATAATTTTAATTCGATGAATATACTGTTATTAACGTTATTAGAATTTTTTGATTTAGGAAGGTGAACGATGTCGCGGTGAATCGGAAGTTTTGGTAACAAAAACCGATATTGATTATGATATCCGTTTTAAATGAAACCTTAGCACGTAATATTGATGTAAAAATTAATAATGTATGAGACACTCATTTTTGGCTGATTAAGCTATATTTGTTTATATTGTCTTTATTAATTTATTACGAATCATAAAAAAATGATTTATTCAAAAAGAGTTGATAAATATGTTAATATTTATATTTTAATAAATATCTATAACTTTGAAAAGACGAGTAGAAACTCCTGAATTTTTCTGAATAGAGCAAGGGATTATTTATGGAGATTAATATAAAAGAAGATGCAATATAGAAAAGAAAATGCTTCAAATGTTGGAAATATGTTAAGCATTCAATTAAACAACGCTTGTATGATATGGACATGTATTACAGATAAAAAAATAAAGCTTTTTTAATTGGAAGAGATTGGTTGTGAAGTTTTTAGTTATGGTCGATTGAAATAAAAGAAGTTGACCTTATGTTGAGGGAATCGTATTGGTGTAATGGGCATCGCTTTTTCATGGACAATTAGTGTACCAGCCCACTTCTATAAGAATTTCTTTTCTATAAAAGATCTATTGTTGTGGAACAGTAAAACATAATAGACGAAAAAATTAAACGTAAAAAGGTTCGTTTTACACTTCTACAACATTTCTCCACAGATTTCTCCACAAAACTTACGTGTGAAACGGATATGCTTTTGATTACTACAGAACCAGCGAAGAAAACTGTAAAGTAGTATAAGAAGACATTCTTTTACTTCCAGGACTTTGTTATTTTTAGTTCCCGTGAGGTATATAAAAGGAAATTGGGCGAAAATATATCTTGGTTGAACTTTCTAAAAAAAAAGTTACCAAACATTTTATTCAAAAACAGCATATAATCAATGAAAAACGGCCTTACAGGATCAATAGTATTGACAATATCAGTATTGACAATATAACCATCAAACTTTGTGGTAACCAGTCTCAATACTTGAACACCTTACACGATCAATATTATTGTCAATACTTCTGTCAATAAGTTTTACCTTTTTACCACGAACAGGGTGAATCTACGTAGTTTTACTCGATTATTTGTGGGTTTTTCCTTTCCAAATAAGGATAATCGTACAAAAGCTTGTGCAGCTATTATGTTGGCGCTTGGAACTACTCCTCGAGTGAAACGCAAACACTGGTTAAAAGAATGGTTGAAGAAGAGAGATGAATATTTTTATCTAGTATTGTTGATAGAAATCAAACTCTCAATCAATGGATGAAAGTTCCTTTAACAAACTGTTACAGATGGTTGAACCATTTTTGAAAAGACAGGATAGCAATATGAGAGAAAGTACAAGTGTTAGGAAAAAATTAGCCTTAATCCTGAGGTACTTGGCCACAGGAAGAAATTTTGAAGACTAGAAGCTTTCTGTTATAATGTCCCCAGTAATTATGAGCAAAACTGTAATAGAAACCTGTGAAACCTTTATACAGGGTGTTTCATGAAGTTCTCCCGGCACTAATGGAAAATGTTGTTTAGGTGATTTGTAATAAAAAAGTTCGTATGAACATATGTCCGATTTACTTCACTTATTGAGTTATATGAATTTGAAAATAATATTTAAAAATTATGGCGTTACGGCCCAGCGCGGGGCTCAAAGGGTAAGTGTGCTATGACTGCATTAGTAAAATAAAGTACTTATTTAGGTTACCGTCATGTTTGACCAGAAAAAAAAGCATTGAGCAAGACAATTCACTTTATTTATTGAGCTACACTTATGCATTTAAAAATAAAGTAATTGCGATAATGTTACTTTTTATTATAATTTGAAAAAATAATTTATTAATTTTAAACATTTTTGAAAATTCCATCTCCTACTTCAATACACTTATGCACGCCTGTGAACGGCCTCGCCTTGCATTTTTTATCTTTGCACGGTGCTCCTTTATTTGCGTTGCACCGTCAAAAATTCTTTGGATTAATGCCTCACGTGTATCTACTTTTTCTTGATATACTAAATCTTTCATCCAACCCCACATGTTATAATCCAGAGGATTGAGAACTGGAGATCTGGCTGGCCAAACGTGCTGTCCACCTCGACCGATCCAGCGGTTAGGATAACGTTCATTTAGATGATCGGTGTCTCTACGGTAAAAATGAGAAGGAGCTCCGTCGTGTTGNTTGAATATATTCGAGTGCTGGAGGATGTTTTGATACCATCAGTAAGAACCTGGTATCCAGAAGGGATCATCACGATAGTACAAGACAATTCGCCCGTTCATTCTTCAAGAATTGTTCAGGAGTGGTTTGACGACCATAATGAGGTTAGGCGAATAACCTGGCCAGCGCGGTCACCGGATCTTAACCCAATCGAAAATCTATCGGCTTTGGTGGAAAAACAGTTCCATAAAAATGCCAACTTTCCGATTCGCAACGTAGAGAGTCTGCGCCGCAACATTACAGTTGTGTGGGAATTGTTTCGCGGCCAGGATGAAACGAAAAATTAGTTAATTCCATGGCCACCAGATTGCACTGTTACATAGAGAACAATGGGTATTCCTTATTAGCAATTATTTTCATTTACTACAGGAATTGTGTAAAGTAAATGGATTACTTATACCTATTTATTTTCTTAATTTTTCCTTGTGATTCAGTCATCTTGGCCATAAATCACATTACCCTGCTTGTCTGTTCGGAACTTTTACAACACTACTGAACACTACAGAGCAGGTAAAATCTGGATTGAATGCCTCGTGAACGTAGGTCGTTTCTAGTACAATTTTATGCCTCTACGAGCGGGTCTTTTCGCATTATATCTGAACGAAACTGTACATCCCACAGTAAACGCGGAAGTTTTTCTTCCAAAAATTGCTAGTACCTTTGTCCGGTAAGACGATCTTCAAAAATAAACGGTCCTATAAGTTGATCGTACAACATTCCGCACCACAGATTAATGCTAAATCTGCTTTGAAAATAACTTTCTATGGTAGCATGAGGGTTAATGTCCGACCATTTATGCAAATTATGGATGTTATTTATGCCATCTCGAGTATTATTATTTAACCACTGATAAAATGCCAAACGCCTAGGGAAGTGTTCTGGCTTCAGATGTTGAACACGCTGTAGATGATACGGATGCAGCAGATTTCTTTTTTTCTTGTTCTCCATAGCCTGGTATTGGGAACGCTCGACAATGTGAAGGATGTTCTCTTCCTCTGCAACATTCTGTTGTATTGTTCGTTCATACTGCATATGAACGCTCGGAAGTAAACCAGTTTCTCGGAGAGCTTGGAAGGTACTACTAAAAGTCTTCGGCGATGGAACACGCCGATTTGGAAAACGTCATCGATATTCAATTGAAGCTGTAGTAGCGTTTCCATCACAATTTCCCAGTACAAAAACCATATCAGCATACTCAACAGTCGTAAACTTAAACGGCATTGTACGCAAATAAAACTCAAATAATTTTAGATTAAACGGTAAGCTTGTCAAATTTGACAGTAAGGTAAATAAGTACTTTATTTTACTAATGCAGTCATAACACACTTACCCTTTGAGCCCCGCGCTGGGCCGTAACGCCATAATTTTTAAATATTATTTTCAAATTCATATAACTCAATAAGTGAAGTGAGTCGGACATATGTTCATATGAACTTTTTTATTACAAATCACCTAAACAACATGCTCCATTAGTGCCGGGAGAACTTCATGAAACACCCTGTATATGTCCTACAAGACATGAACCAACTGAATGAACTGGATGAACCAACAGTATCTTGAACGTCAACAACGTCAGTTAAGGGAGTATGCCACCTTGAAGACCCGAAAATAATAGGTATTTTTAAAATTTGTTTGCAATCAGACGAAAGAAGTTTTCTAAAAACGGGTTGCAGGGTGTGAATAAGCAACTTTTCTAGTTTTAAATACATATTTTATTTATTAACAGTTATTAAAATTGCACCCGCTAGATGTCGGTAATGTTAGGCTTGCAAATCGTGCAGGGTCAAACTGTGCGNATCAGACGAAAGAAGTTTTCTAAAAACGGGTTGCAGGGTGTGAATAAGCAACTTTTCTAGTTTTAAATACATATTTTATTTATTAACAGTTATTAAAATTGCACCCGCTAGATGTCGGTAATGTTCGGCTTGCAAATCGTGCAGGGTCAAAGTGTGCGCAGGATTTATCCTAACGCGTAAGTCGAATAAATAAAACTTGAATACGATTACTTTAGTAAACTCAAAAACTAGGGAACTACGTAGGATTTTTAAAAAATATTCATTTTGACGATTTTACAAGAAATGTATATATCGATAAAAAACGTACATAAAAATGGTTGTAAAACAGAGAATCTGAGACATATCAAAAAACGGCTACGTACTTACCTAGAATAAGATAATACAAACTTTTGAAAAAAAATCTTGAAAATCCGNTTCCCGTGCGGTTATTATAAACATTTCGAAAAAATTTTATTAGAAAGATCGCTTCAGAATAATGTATTCTACAACCGTATAATGCTCTGATGCGGAAGATACGGGACACGCTGTATATCGGTGGATTGGACGATTTGAAGAAAACGGGGAAGTTGGCCTTACAACTTCTAGATCAGGCCGAAGACTTATTCTTAATAATGCTCAGCGAAGGGGAATTGCTGAATACGTCACCGCCAATCCATTTACAACGTCCACAATTATCAAGGAGAATCAAGGGCTGGAATGTTCTAATCTTACCATCCGGAGAGCATTGCATGCAGAAGGCATTCATAACCGGGTAGCTGTAAAAACACCCCTAATTACAGAGCAATTGGCTACAACACGGTTACGATTTGCCCGTGAATACCTTGAATATAATTGGGAATCAGTCATCTTCACAGACGAGAAAATGTTCTGTTCGTCGGACGACCCTAAAAAACGACCCTAAACTCGGTATGATGCTAATCATGTTCAATCCAATAGAAGAAGTGCACGCATTTCCTTGGGTTATTGGGGATGGATGAGCATTCATGGACCGGGAGAACTGACTGAAATTAAAGGAAGATTTAATTCGATTGAATATATTCGAATGCTGGA